AGCGCTATATGTTGAGCCACCTCAGCTGGATTTGGCATGTGACATTTTTAGCGGTAATCATTGGTCGATTTTCTAGCATTCCCATTCGGGGAGTTGTAATGAGGCTTTTTTTTGTCGCTGTCTAAGAGAAATATATAGATAGATAGTTTTTTTATCGATACCATGATATATGTATGTATTTTTTACTAATTAAATTTTTTTTTGCTATTCTTAAGGGCGTTGAAGACATCTATCTATAAAATATTAATTCAATTGGAATAAACAGCCTCTGTTACAAAAATTTTTAAAATGCGATTTTTTAAAAAATTGAATTGGTTATTGACTAATTCAACTTTTTGAAAAAGCATAATTATTTCATTTGAGATTAAACATATATTTTTTTCTTTGAATTAAAGTTGCAAATTCTGTATAGAAAATTACCATTTTATACCCTACTACCAATAACATTTTATTGTTATATGCATCATTTAATTTCTTACCTACCATAAAGTATTAATATTAATAAAATATTATTTTTCATGCATAATTTTTTTTTTTTTTTTTTTTTTTTTTTTTTTTTTTTTTTAAATTTAAACATATTTTGATGAAAATCATACCACATTTTGGAAAATGTATATGCTTGTCCTAAAATGAGTTAAATAGGGTTCGTTGATTTAAATCTGCTGCGCTATTTAAATCAAGTGATTTTTTTTAAAAATTATTGATTTAATCAAATGATTTTTTTTTAAATAAATCGATTGTTCTATTCAAATATACATAGCATTCAAATATATAAATTTTTAAAATTTTCATAATTTTTTTAATTTTGTATTATTGTTGGCTTAAAAAATTTCAACTGGCAAAATTACACAAGTACTTGCCGCGTGGTACGTTATAAATTACCGTTTTTATTAAATGACAATTTAAAAATCTTACATTTTTCTTTTGAATTTTTTCATATAGAAAATTAAGAACGAGGAAAAAAATTGATGCAGTTTTATAAATATATATGTAGGATTTCTAGTTCACAAAATATCTTTTCATAAAAACGGACCCTTCACAAAATATTTCAACTTAAAAATGGACCCTTCACAAAATAATTTATCTTTTAATCGGACCCTTCGCAAATTTGTTTATCTTCATTATTGTTTAGTTAATCGAATAAACTCTTTCCAGGAAAGACAGATGGAAGAAAGACAGATGTAAACGAACTAAATTTTGTTTTCGGCGGACGCTTCTTCCTTTATTCGTCCGAAATGAATATTCTGCGTTCAGCAGTAAGACTAAAAACCAAATATTTATATGTTGCATTGCTAATTTAGTAGCTGCAATTGCTGTTTATTTTTTAAAATTTAATTTTTTTAATTACAATTTTACAGTGTTGAGCATAATCTTGTATGTCTTTACAATTTAAAAGCTAATTGAAAAAGTTTTTTTGCAGTAACGGACCCTATTTGCACAAATTCACAAAAGCGGACCTTGGTCGAAAGAATGTGACTTAACGTTTATTTTATATTCACAAATTACGAGTAATTTTTTCACAATTTTACAAAAACGGACCTTTCNAATTCGTGATATAAATCAAAAATCGTCAAATAAATTCGTAATATATAAATTCGTGAAAAAAAACGCTTTCGACAAAATACTAAAATAGAGATCTATCGACAAAGACTACTCACTTCTGCCTAGCTTAATAGTATGAGATTGCTGCAGCTGTTAGGGTGAATTTCGGAAGAGATCACATTTGGTGAGAATGCTCTCTCTGGTTATTTTAGTTTCCGTTTTTAAAAGCGCTATATGTTGAGCCACCTCAGCTGGATTTGGCATGTGACATTTTTAGCGGTAATCATTGGTCGATTTTCTAGCATTCCCATTCGGGGAGTTGTAATGAGGCTTTTTTTTGTCGCTGTCTAAGAGAAATATATAGATAGATAGTTTTTTTATCGATACCATGATATATGTATGTATTTTTTACTAATTAAATTTTTTTTTGCTATTCTTAAGGGCGATGAAGACATCTATAAAATATTAATTCAATTGGAGTAAACAGCCTCTGTTACAAAAAGTTTTAAAAAATTGAATTGGTTATTGACTAATTCAACATTTTAAAAAAGCATAATTATTTCATTTGAGATTAAACATATATTGTTTACTTTGGATTAAAGTTGCAAATTCTGTATAGAAAATTACCATTTTATACCCAATAACATTTTATTGTTATATGCATCATTTAATTTCTAACCTACCATAATGTATTAATATTAATAAAGTATTATTTTTCATGCATGAAAGTTTTTTTTTTTTTTTTTTAAATCTAAGCATATTTTAATGAAAATCATACCACATTTTGGAAAATGTATATGCTTGTCCTAAAATGAGTTAAACAGGGTTCGTTGATTTAAATCTGCTGCGCTATTTAAATCAAGTGATTTTTTAAAAAAATTATTGATTTAATCAAATGATTTTTTTTAAATAAATCAATTGTTTTATTCAAATTTACATAGCATTCAAATATATAAATTTTTAAAATTTTCATAATTTTTTTAATTTTGTATTATTGTTGGCTTAAAAAATTTCAACTGACAAAATTACACAAGTACTTTCCGCGTGGTACATTATAAATTACCGTTTTTATTAAATGACATTTTAAAAATCTTACATTTTTCTTTTGAATTTTTTCAGATAGAAAATAAAGAACGAGGAAAAAATTTTATTCAGTTTTTATAAATATGTGTGTAGGATTTATTTATCTATAATAAGAAGTTATTGCGTATGGATTGTTTTGCAAAAATTCTACCAAATGCAATGAAATTTTACCAAATCCTAATTTTTTCTTAAAAATCAAATTTTGTATAGATCACATATTGTACATAACAACTTTTGTTTCGTGAAATACTTACCATGATATAAAAAATTATCATGATGTAGCACAAAAAAAAAAAAAAAAAATGGTTTAAAAGATGCTATTCAGATAAGGAGAATAGGTTAGTTATTCTATGCAGAGTGATTTGCCAACCTGCAGTTAAGGTAAAGTATAAAGGCAACACTTATTTTGTCATTGGATTGTCATAGTTGCATATGGATTGTTTAGAAGGAAAAAAAAATTAGGGCAATAAAAATTCTACCAAATCCTAATTTTATTTCCAAAATCACATTTTGTATTGATCACACATTGTATTATTGCGTTCACCTATTGTACAAAAATCACATATTAAAATTTTTTTTTTGAAGTACTTGCTATGTTATAAGAAAATTATAAAATAGCATAAATTTTTTTTAAAAAAAGATGTTATTCAGATAAGGCGCATAGGTTAGTCATTCTATGCAGAGTGATTTGCCAACCCGCAGTTAGGGTAAGGTATAAAGGCAACACTTATTTTGCCATTCAAAATTTTAAGAACTGAAAATAAATCTATGAAATTAATTTCGTGATTTGTTTATTTTAGCCAATGATTTAGTTGTTAATAATGATAAATCTCTATTCCATTCTGGATAAATTTGAATCGTGCGTTTGCATGTATCATATGTATTTATGAATGATTATCAAAATATATTTTAAAATGTGTTTTATTTTTTAAATAATATTTCAATAATAATTACATTTATAAAATTAAACTAAACATAATAATATAGTTAGTTCTTGAAGTATCGTTAAAATATACACTCTATAACAAAAAAATCGACGCACCAAGAAGGAGTTGTCCGATTGAAACGAAAATTGGTGGATAGGAAGACAATGTACAGAATAGTAAATGATTAAAATTTCAGAACAATTGAATAATTTATTGCAGAGTTACAGTAACAAGTTCAATAAGGTGTTGACCCGCCTCTAGCCTGGATACAAGCTGCCACACGGCGTGGCATAGACCGATAAAGCTCCCGGATGGTCTCTTGCGGTATTTCCTGCCAAATTCGATCCAATTGTCGAACGAGGTCATCAACATTCCGTGCCAGATGCAATCGCCTTCCCATCATATCCCAGACATGCTCGATGGGAGAGAGATCTGGTGATCTGGCAGGCCAAGGAAGAGTTTGACAAGCTTGCAGACAGTTCATAGCAACACGTGCCGTATGTGGTCTGGCATTGTCCTGCTGAAAAACCAGCCCAGGGCGCTGCAAAAGGAACGGTAGCAAAACAGGTCTTAGGATGTCGTCGACGTACCGCTGTGCAGTAAGTGTACCTCTAATGACGACCAAAGGGGTCCGGCTGTCAAAGGAAATGGCACCCCAGACCATAATGCCTTGTTGAGGGCCGGTGTGGCGTGCAATAGTGAAGGCAGGATCCCCCCTCTGCCCTGTGCGTCTCCAAACACGTCTTCGATGATCGTCAGGACACAGTTGGAAGCGGGATTCGTCGCTAAAGACTATACGTCCCCAGTCGGCATCATTCCAGCCTGATCTGTTCATAAAATTCATGCATACGAAATTTCAAAGCAATGGGATGATTGCTTATTGGTGCGTCGATTTTTTTTGTCATAGAGTGTATATTATCTAATGTCGTTGCCGAGAGGAAGGATAAAAACAGGTCTTAGGCAGGGAAAGAGGACCCAATATTTATTTAGTAAATTATTACAGAGAGAACAATTATCCAAGTGACACAAAGGGGTCTGTCCAGGCCAAAATTACTACCGTTTAGCGGCATCTTCTCAAATTCAACTACAGTAGTTTCAAAAAATACTTTTTCATAAAATTTTACTTTTGTATCCCTTAAGAAAGGATAAATCCATATTTTTGTGTTGTCTTTTTTTTTTTTTTACATAATTTTTAATTTTTACAAATTAGGTCTAAATTTTCACAAAATAGATACCTCTCAGAAAAGCCTAGACAGACCCCTGATATATAAAAAAAACATGACCCCTGTTTTTAAACAATTGTTGAAGTAATGATATGAACTAGGTAAAAAGGATTGTGTTAATATTTATTTCGCGAAATATATTTTACTGTCATGATTTCTTTCAGCTATTCATAAAAAAAAAAAATTATTTTTTACAAATGTTAATTTGAATCTTTTTCTGTTGCAGATGTCCGAGGGCCGTCGTAGTCAGGTCGTATTGCTTGATGAACGTAGATTAGATTTAATAATACAAGTGAGTTATGCTTCATATTTCTTCATTAATTTAGAATTTTATAACAGTGCAGTACATAATTTTAAAATTATCAGAACTTTATAAAAAATGAGATAATTATGGGTTGCATTATACTTTTAATTTGCCATCTCCATTCTAAATTAAAATTTTTTTTTAATGTGTCACAATTATTAGGATGAACACTTTGTAAAACAGCTATATCAGGGTTGCCACAGGCGACTAAAATGCAACTATTTGCAACTATTTTTGGCATCAGGCGACTATGGCAACTTTTTTTGCCTGAAAAGGCTAAAAAAGCAACTATTTTCAGGAAAAGGAGACTATTGGGAAACTTTTCTGTACTCTTAGTAATGTTTTTTTTTAATGCATAAATTGGGGGGGGGGATCTGCACCCCACAAGATAGTTTCTGAACACACTGAAATTTTTTTCTTTCTTAAAAGATAAAAAATTGTGAAAATTTTGAATTGCGAATTTAAGTGTTCACTTTTTAATTCGTTCAATCTGCACAGACTCCATTGTAAGTCTATTTCATTTCTCGATCGCCTTTTCAATGATTATTGCTACAAAACTCCGCATGATTTTAAAAAAAGAAAAAAAAGAAGAAGATTAATACAATATTACGATGCATGAATTTCGAATTTGAGTAAGCACTTTTCATATATATACATAAAAACATTTACGCTTATATGAAAATTATCATATTTGCCACCAACTTGTCTGAATGGATCATGGTATATGACAATTAGGTCCTTAACAAAATTTTAGTCAATATTTTTGATGAATTTTTGTTCTTATTTAGGCAGCTATTTTCCTAGTTTTTGGCTACTATTTTCATGTTTTAAGCTACTAAAAGCAACTATTTTGTTCATTTTTTCTGTGGCAACCCTGCTATATTAAATGTGGCAATTTAAAAAAAAAGTTTTCAATTTTACAACACGTCTAATGAAGTGACTGGGGTACTCTGCCCCCTGTTTTTTACAATTGCTGTAATTATTCGTGACTGTCATTGCTGTAGTAGGAATTTAAATAATTTTTTATAACCTTATATAATTTTTAAGGCTGGATTGAATGAGATTAATATTAAGTTTATAGGTTTAGTAGTTTTCGCTAATTGATGCTGGTAAACAGATGCTACTCCAGTTTAAAAACCAACTTTTATGACTCATTAGCACTAGGACAAGAATCATTGTGTATAAATCTGACCAGTAATCCTTTATAACAGTACAAGCAAGGCACTGAGTAAATATATTTGAAACAGGATACTCGTGCTTGAAAGAAAAATGCTGCACAAAATTTCAATTGCTGTCTTTAAAAAAAAATGTCTGGCGAATTCTTTTCAATTTTGAAATTTTTAATTGTTTTAAGCAATCAAACAGGAGTCGCGGTAGCACAGGGGATAGAGCTTTTGCCTTCCAATGAGGTGAACCTAGTTCAAATCCCGGTGATGACTGGTCAATACAAATTCCGTACTCAGTTTGCACCAATCACAGTGCTGTCTTTAAATATCCTCAGTGGTAGACGGATCATGTGCTAGAGTCCCCTTGCCGTCAGGCTAAGCATGGGATGTTTTTGTGGTTTTCCACTCCATGAAAGCAAATTTCTCCCAACACTTGATCCAGGAGTTCCATTGTCTTCTGGTTTGTGCTCAAAATTACAAGGCTAAGGAGTTGAACATTAATAGTCTTAAACCCAAAATTGGGTTGGCTGTTCAGCGATGGTTGTAAAAAAAGTAACCAAACATAATAAAAGTCATCAAATGGAGCCAAATAAAATATCTTGGTTACTTATATAGACCAGATGATTACAATCCCACTAAGTGGTTAACCTTTAACAAGGCGACCTTTATGAGGAAATAGGCATGTGATAGACTTTGAGGGAAAAATCTTGTTGGGACGACTCCAGCCTGCTCTGGGTTGGAGTTCTTAGAAGAAAAAGAGCTCTAATAGTTTTGAAGTTATGAGGGTTTTATGTCAATAAAAAATATAATTGAGTATAACTTGTAAGAGGTGTCAACCTCTGTTAATTTTGCTTTATCTTTAGAATTATTTTTTAAATTTTTTATTGTTAATATCTTTTTTTATTACTTTAATCATTCTAAAAAGTTTTTCTTCCTTCATTTTTTTAGTCTAGACTGTATGGTGGTGAATTATTAGACATTGTTGCTTCTCATTTTAATCTTAAGGAGAAAGATTATTTTGGAATAGCTTTTATTGATGATACGTAAGTTATTAAGTCATTTCTATTTATTTTATTGATTTCGTGAACTCATTAGATTTTAATGATTGATTTACATCTTGTCTTTCATGTGAGTTTTTAATTTTTATGCTCTTATATTTCAGAGGTCAATATTCATGGTTGTCTCTTGATAAACGCGTTTTGGAACATGACTTTCCGAAAAAGAACAGCGAGAAAGGATCCACTATAATTCTATATTTTCGTATTAAGTAAGTTGGGAGATATGATATACCTGAGTTTTCCCTTGGAATAAAAAAGGGCAAGGTGCTGCCTCTCAGAAAAGAGCATTATAAGTTTTGGAAGGGCACTCTTTTATCACCGTAAAAATTTATAAAACATGTAATATTGTGTAATAACTGAATTTGATCTTCAGCAATTAACCTTTTTACACTATTTTATTTCTATATTTCAAAAAATAATTCTCTCTCATTATCGGAATAAGAGAAAAATTTATAGTTCATAAAAATAATAAAAGGCATGCTGATAGATTATCTCTGGTTCTAAATTTTTTTCAAAAAAGTAAACTTAAAATTATTAATTTATTTAACAATTTGAAAGATTTTAATACAGTTTTAATTTAAAATTATAAGAAAATAAACATTTAAAGTTGCGTTTTTTTTTAAAAAGAAAACGTTATTTATTTAAAAAATAATTTTAAAAATTTATACCATCAAGAAATTTGAAAAATCAATCTTGGAAAAAAAGAGATACTTATGAAAATTTAACAAATTCTAAATAATCATAAGAAAGTAAATATTTGTAATAGTAATCAGAATTAAACCTATAAACACAGATAATTTACCAGTCTGTAATTATTATTTAAACAGGGAATTAATGTTTTTAAAAATTGAATGAGTGAAAAGGCAGTGTTTTTAAGAGATAATCTGCTTATTTTTACAGAAGGGACAAAGAGGGTGCATTTATAAAGATTAAAGGGCAAGCAGGGCAGTCCGCCCTTTTAAAAACGCTTGGGGAGAACTCTGGATATACATTTGTGTTGTAACATACTTTACATTACTAACATACATTATTAACATACTTTTATCATGTGCTTGCAGTTATTAAATGTGTATTTTAAAATGAATGATAATACCATGTAGAATTTGGTATATTATTTTGAACATTAATCAGAATTCTTTTAAAGGTGATATAATACAATTGTGCATTTTTTCAAATTTGTTTTTCATATTTGATGTGATATTCAAATGAGAGTTTTCCGAAACTAAGATTTTTATTAATTTAATGCTACACTCTCCCGTCAGTTCGCCCTGTTCATCACCCCTCAGGATGGCCATCTTCCAAATTTGAAACATTTTTTGCTAACAAAAGGGCATATAATTTTTTTTTATTTAAACAGCAAATTTTTAGTATAGTACCTGATCTATATTTTGGAAATACTTTGCAAGACATTATTTTCAGAAGACAAAGTTAACATTGTAGAAAAAAATCATGAAAAAAAAAAGAAGAAAAAAAACTGAAAAAAAAAAGAGTTTTTTATAAACTGACACACGAAGTGGTGATGCTTTGCTTGCTTTAAAAATAATATCAATCCAATGACCAAATTGATACAGACCATTGTGCCGATATTTAACTTAACATTCATTCAAATGTTACTAGACTTTTTTGTAAAACTAAATTTATGTACAACAATTAATTTGAAGTGTGTAATAATGAACTTTTAAAATTTTATAATTCTTTTAATTATATTTCTCTATGATAACCATACATCATGTATCAATTAGTAATACTCTCTTCGGCTGTTAATCTTATGACTAGTTAAAAATATTTACAAAAAGGATGAAATAATTCATTATACTATGTATTAAAAAAAATATTAAAAAGTATTCTTTTTATTTGATTATCGATAAGTGTAATCGATTGATTGACGATAAGTGTAATTTTTTGAATTAGAAAATTTTTTAAAGCTCATAAAAAGTGGGAAATTAAAAAGTTTTAACTTAAGAAAGTTCCTCTCTGCGAATTTCCAACTAATCGTTGTATGTTACAAAAACGCATATGAAATCATCAGCTTTAACTGGGGTATGGAGAAGATGGTTCAGTAGGTTGAAGCTCTATATGCCCGATTCACAAAACAGAAGCCAAAGTAGAATGTGGAAATTGCAGAAATATTTCCCTGCTGAATACTGCATTTAAAATATTCTTCATCATCTTTTTCAAATGGCTGTTGCTTTATGTCACAAAAATTCTTGGACCTTACCAATGTGGATTTATCAGAGGAAGACCGACTATAGATCAAATGCAGCATATAGAAATATGCTTAGACTATGAAATATAGAAATATGCTTAGACTGATCTATAGAAAGAGCAAGAGTTGAGCATAGACACCTATCATTTCTTCATAGATTTTAAAGCTGCGTGTGATAGCATGAAAAGAGATGAGCTATATAACACATTTAATGAGCTTGGAATGCTTACAAACGAATCCGATTGGTCTAGGCTTCACTTAAGCAAGTAAAATGCCTGAACCAAAATGCCGAATGCACTTTTAGATGCATTCTACACTGATAAAAGCTTACGGTAGGGTGAAGTCTTATTATGTTTGCTATTTTACATTGCTCTTGAGAAGGTAATGCGAGATGCAGAAATATGAGGCGGGCTGAGTCCATGACTGAGCCCGTGAACTGGCTCATTCATTGAAAAAAGTTTTTAGGCTCGGGAAGGTCCAGATTCATTATAAAATGTTCGTAAATTTTTGACTACTTTTAAACAAACACTTGATTATCAGTTATCAAAAATGTAAAATTTATAAGACATTAAAATTTTAGAGCAATCAGCTACTTTTGTTCAGTGCTTTTACTTCATGAAACTAACACTAACCGTCAAATGACTTTATTTAGCTTTTGATTTTCTGTTTTAATTTTCATTTTAGTTACTTAGAGTTTCAGTTGGTTCAGTTTACTCTTCTTTTTCTATCTAAGGATAGTGAGTAAAAAGGTTTTAATTTACTAATTTCCTTATTTAGAGATGAAAGGCCAAGAGACGAGACTGCAAAAATTGACCTTTATTCGCTGTATATTTTGGACTCTTAAATAATCAGGTGTATCTTGGGCTAGGGTGGGCTCGGACGTCTTGACAATATAATAGTATTACTCAAAAATATTAGTATTACTTAGAAATCAAATATTGACAGACTGGTATTTTCTGATCATTAACAAGAACATAAGTTCCATTTGTGTGATATTACTTAATAACAATTTACAGCTAAAAATAAAAGTTCTATAGAGATAATTATGAGTTATTAAAACTTAGTTAAAGGATTTATATAAGTTTTAAAAGCAAAAAGAAAAATAGAGACTTTAAAGGGAATGTAATTTCGAGGTAAAAAAGGACAGGGAAGAAACTTACATTTCTTTTGAAATCTCTATTTTTCTTGTTTAAAGGTTTTAATGTGTTTTATTTTATTTTACAATTTTGGTATCATTGAGGCTAATTTGAAACATAAGTAACTGTTTTATTATTTGCAAACTATTTGAATGATGGTAACAAAAATAGTTGTTTTCGGTTTGTTCGATTCTACAATGAAAAAGAATGTTATAATTGCTAGTTTACATAATTTAATGAATTTTGACTATGCACTGTAAAATAATAGTTATCTTTTTTTATTGCATTAAAATATATAACTTTCTCTTTATTTTTCAGATATTATATAGAAAGTATAACACAACTTCGAGACAGTGCAACCATCGAGGCCTTTTATTTACAGACAAAATCTCTGATTGCTAAGGTAAATAACTTTTTAATTCTTTTTCATTTCAATTTTTATTTTATTTTATTACTATAGTTTTATTATTACAGTTTATTAAATATTTAATAAATATGCACACAGTATGACTATTTACAAGTATTGCTAAGAAAATATTCTAGCACTTTCTTATTTTTCATTTCTAAGCTCTTTAGTCAGTTGTTTTGCATAGGTTTTTGAAATGTAATTGTTTTTAACTAATTTAGTATTTTATGTCTNACCTACCACCAGTTACTTTTCTCAACAACTGAAATTTAGAATAGTGTGATTAAAAAAATATGTGAACTGTTTGCAATTTCAAATTAATATTGAAATGCACAGGTTTAGAATTTTCTACAGTGAAAAGTTTTCGGAACTTCAGTGTTCAAAAAAGTATACAAAAGCTAGACGTTAAGAACATATCCAATGAACGAGCAAAGCGAGCATCGGATTGCGAAGCAATCCGAAATGAACTGTGAAAGCAGTTCTGGGGGTTGGCGAGCGCCAGCGAGCAGGGGGCGAAGCCTCCTAGTTATTATTTAAACAGTGAATTAATATTTTCAAAAATTGAATATGAGTAAAAAGGCAGTGTTTTTAAGAGATAATCAGCTTACAGATAGGACAAAGATATAAGGATTAAAGGGCAGACCCCCTTTTTAAAAACGCTTAGGCAGAACTCTGGATATACATTTGTGTTGCAATACATTAGTAACATTCTTTTATCGTGTACTTGCAGTTATTAAATGTGTATTTTAAAATGAATGATGATACCATATAGAATTTGGCATATTATTTTGACCATTAATCAAAATTGTTTTAAAGGTAATATAAAACAATTGTGCATTTTTTCAAATTTGTTTTTCATATTCAATGTGATATTCAAATGAGAGTTTTCCAAAACTAAAATTTTTATTAATTTAATGCTACACTCTCCCGTCAGTTCGCCCTGTTCATCATCCCTCAAGGATGGCCATCTTTCAAATTTGAAACATTTTTTGCTAACAGAAGGACATAAATTTTTTTTATTTAAACAGCAAATTTTTAGTATAGTACCAGATCTATATGTTGGAAATACTTTGCAAGACATTATTTTCAGAAGACAATTTTGGGTATCATTGAGGCTAATTTGAAACATAAATAACTGTTTTATTATTTGCAAATTATTTGAATGATGGTAACAAAGATAGTTGTTTTCGGTTTGTTCGATTCTACAATGAAAAAGAATGTTATAATTGCTGGTATACATCATTTAATGAATTTTGACTATGCACTGTAAAATTATAGTTATCTTTTTTTATTGCATTAAAATATATAACTTTCTCTTTATTTTTCAGATATTATATAGAAAGTATAACACAACTTCGAGACAGTGCAACCATCGAGGCATTTTATTTACAGACAAAATCTCTGATTGCTAAGGTAAATAACTTTTTAAATTTTTTTTCATATTAATTTTTATTTTATCTTATTAAAGTTTTATAATTGCAGTTTATTAAATATTTAATAAATATTATACACACAGTATGACTATTTATAGGGATTGCTAAGAAAATATTCTAGTACTTTCTTATTTTTCTATTTTTCATTTCTAAGCTGTTTAGTCAGTTGTTTTGCATAGGTTTTTGAAATGTATTTCTTTTGAACTAATTTAGTATTTTATGTCTGAATTGATTGTAATTATGTATGTGATTATGTATTTTATGTCACGAATATGATTATAAATGTTTAATAACAAGAGTCTGTCCAGATCAAATTTACTACCATTTAGCAGTATCTTTTCAAATTCAACTTTAGAAAAAACGGTAGTTTCAGAAAATGTTTTTTAAAAAGCAAGTTCTAATATTCTCATCCCCCCATCATCATCACTTAAAACTTTGTTTTTATGTACCGATAAGAAACGATAAATCCTGAGTTAATTAAGCATAGATGAATAGGTAGTATTTGCTTGGTCAGATAGTGTGGTGTGGTAGCCTAACCAGCCGCTTACGCCATATTATAGAGAGTTTTTTTTTTTTTTTTAAATTAAACCATGAGGAAACTTTACAGGAAGTTGAAATTTGGACATTATTCTGAATATTCGAACATTGTTCTAAATTTCTTCTAACAGACCTTTATTTTTTATGAAAACTTTTTCCTCTGAAACTTTTTTCTATGACTATGTGGGAAATGTTCTCATAATGAAAATAACTTTTAGTGCAAGTACTGTTAAATGCATGTTATTTTTAAAATTCAAGTCGAAATTTAACAATTGACTATGATTTTTAAATTTAGATACAATTTTACGCCCAAAATTTTGCAATAGCAGAATTATTTTTGAATATACAGGGAAAAATATATAAAAATTTACCAGTCATAAATGATTTTTATTTGTAGTGACAATTATTGAAAACATCTTCTTACTGTACCATATTTTTGTGTTGATTTTTTAATATAATTTTTAATTTTCACAAATTTTGTCTAAATTTTCACGAAATAGGTACTCCTCATAAAAACCTAAACAGACCACTGAATAATAAATTCTTTTATTAGTAATAGTAAAACATTTACTTTTACTTATTATTTCTTTGCAATGTTAACTAAATGTATTTCTAGAGCATTATTTCTCATTTACATGAAAAATAGATTTTGATCAATATTTGTTGGCAAATGGGTGTTTTCAGATAAATTTTATTTGTAAATTATAAACTTTTTGTTTACTGCTGGTTAGCCAGAATGGCAGGCTATACCATGTTAAGCGCCATAAGCTGGTTAAACTGATTTGATAACTTATTCATGATCAGTGATGTGATAACTTTTTCAGTTCCACTTAATTTTTAGAAAAAAAGGTTGCTTTTTCACAAAATTCCTCTTAATCTGCTCTTAGCTATGCTCTAATCTAGTGGTTGACAACATGTGTCATAAGTAGTAATTTTGTGCAACCTGCTGCCCCTTTTTTTAACAAAGAAGCAATTTCTAGCATTTTTTAAATAGTTTTCCTAATAATTCCCTTAAAACAGTTAAATGAGAAAACTTAATCTATAAAGAATGTGATTACAAATGTGTTATAAGGAATATGATTACATATTATTCTCAAAAATTTTACACATTTCCCATATTGTAGTAATTTATGTAAAGAATATTGCTCTCAGGATCCATAAATTCATTAAGGAATTAGATATTATAATGGTGAAATCCAAAGGGCACTTTAAGGAAAAACACATGAAGAATTAAAAAAAATAAAATTTAGAGAATTTAAAAAAATGAATTTGAATTCCGAACAATTCCGTATATTAAATTATTGCTTCAAAATGTAAAAATTCAAATGTAAACTTCAAATGTAATTTAAATTGCTTAGATAAATTTCACAATATTCAGTTGTCTTGAGAGGGTTCTTAACTCGCAATTTTTTATTTTCTTCCCCTATTTTTGCAGTCTCTAAATTTTTGTGTTGATAAGTAGCGTTTTATTTTTTTTACGATGCATGAGCTACTAAGAAAAATGTAAAGAAAAGTCCTAAAATTTACTTTCAAAAACGAAACTCTATGAACAAATGTTCGAAATTAAGGACTTCATATATGGCTTGTTTTCTTGCCAAATCATCGAATTAAGCTTGAGTAAAATTTATTTTTTTTGGCTGGAAATTTTTCTTCAAACCTAGACTATGAAACATTGTAAATAAATACCAAAATACCTAGACTATGAAACATTGTAAATAAATTTTTTATAAAAGCATATTATTTTCTGCAAAGATTTAAATTCACTTTGTATGTAGATATGATTGTTGTTTGAAGTATAAAGAGTAAAAAAAAAAATTTAATGGCTTCATAAGCATAATTTTTGAAGTAAATTATACAGGTTTGGGATATTTGGATGTTAAAATTAGGTTTTTGAAAAACTGCTGGAAAGTGAAAATAACTGATGGAAAACTGATAAAAACTGTCGAAATCCAGGGGAAAATTTCTTCTATGTGATTAGGGACATTTTATAAGAAATCAAATTACGTAACTGTTTACATTATGCGCAATACTTGCATTATAATTTTGATTTACATTATATATCATGTATAAAAATGTGCTTCATTATACTTATGTTCTTAATTTACTAAGTACAGTTATTGGAATAAAATTTCCTAATACATGTTAATTTTAGTATATAATATAGCAGTTTTGGTAAGTCTACACTCTATTTCATGCAGCTCAGCATCAATTGAAAGAATATTTTCAGTTTTTCGTCTTATTCATTCAAAATTTGGGAAAAAAACTTACAAAAGGCTTCAAAACTAGTGTTTTGTAATCATATGCTCAGGGGAAAAAAGAAGTCAGAATGAGAGTAAAATGAAATTTTTTTTCACACAATGAACAAGATAATTTATGGGCAATTTTTTATAAGATGATTGTTTTTGTATTTTTATTTATAATTATCTTATACTCGTAATAAATTATAATTTTATATTACAAACTTTTTTTATACCAGTTGTTAAAACAAAATGAGGGTTTAATATCAAAATTATTAAAAAGCATAATTGATTGATCATTAATTTAATATGTATTTTTTATTTATAATTACATCATGTTTTTGATAGATAATAATTATTTTTTACACAACAAATTTAAGTTTTAAACAATTGTTAAAAACTCTGTCAAAAATGGGTTTTTGACACAAATGTTGAAACTAAGTTATTTTAGAAAAAACTAAGCATCTCAAACAAGCAAACCTCTTCTCATTTCTTAAATCTAACTAATTTTTACGATTTTTACTATATAAAATTGAATACAAACTTAAACAAAAAACATAATTGTTCATTTATTTAAAATAGTTTCATAATTCATGATTGGTAAATTTGGTTTTATTTATAATTATATCAGTGGGGATTATTTTTATTGACGGTGAATTTTATTCATCGATCCAGTTTTCATGATGCCCACAATAGTGGCATTTCCGCACCTAGAAAATGACTGACCAAAATTAAAATCTTTTTCAAAAAATTATATACTTTCGATAACTTTTTGTCGTCAATGGAGGAA